TTCTGTTCCAGGCAGAGCACTGGGTCATCCAGAAAGGGAAGGCAAATTTTTAAGTAAAAGCCTGCCAAGAATGCCCAAAAAAACCCGGCAGATGTGTCCAGACAAACCTGATAGTGGGACACTTCTTCCTTTGTGTAACCCATATTTGTTTAACTGATGGCCTTGCAATGTAACTTTGAATATAACAGGACATTTTTTCCTTTGTGTAACCCATGCTTATTTAACTGATGGTCTTGTAAAGTAACTTGAGATGTTTAAACTCCCTTAGCAAGCTATGATGTCACCCCACCCTCCAATCACAAGGTGCCAAATCTGCCTTTGTACCTCCCTGCTTATTTTCCCCCATAAAAGCCCTGAAATCCCACCAGGCAGGGCTCTAACTCTTTGGGAGAGATCCCAGTCAAGCCAACTGGTGTAATAAACTTCCTCCTAAAGGACACCTTCTTGGTGTCCCTATTTGGTCTATTTTCTGTAACAATCCCAAAGCTCCTCTACTAGGAGAACTTTCCTCTTTGTCTTTCTTTTGCTGTATTTCCTCATGGATTAGACCGACACCCTCAGCAGGGCTTTCAGTATGGTCCCTTGTGACACCATGGGAATTTCAGGCTGGAATATTTCATCTTGCTTCCTTCCTCCCCACCTCTGTCCTTCCTTCCTCACCACCCCCCCTGTCCTGCTTCCCTGCTCTCCCTGTCCCATCTCTGGCTGTTTAACCCAGAGCCTCTTGCATTCTGGGCCCTACCACTGAGCTACTCTGCCCTGCACTTTCCCTGCATCTGTGAGCATATTTGTCCTTTAGTAACACTCTCTTTTCCTTATCTAATAGCTTGTTTTACTGACTTCCTACCATTACCTCGGACCTAATGTTCTCCCTGCCTGTATGGCACACAATGACTTGGCTGGCACTTGGAGATATGAAATCATTTATGCTGCCAGCCCTTCATGCTGGCTCTAGCCTGGTGGTGTAGCGCAGTGGTAGAGCTTGTCCTGCATGCATGAGGTTCCAACTGCAGCGCTAGAAAAATAACAGGTATAAAGTAAAAATGAGACATATATAGCACCCCCCACCACCTTGAAGATTTGCTCTACTTTGCTTTATTATTTATTTGATGATGCCTAAGACACAAATTGACATAAGTTGCCACATTGGCTCATGATAGTGTGACAGTGTCCCTGTGTCCTTGGGTGACCAGTCACGGTTGCAGGTTGCCCCTCCCTTTCCTTGGTTTTAAAGGTGACTTGTATTTTTGGTTACTGCGGCTCAGGGAAGTGGCCTGTTTTCTAATCTCGGAGAGGAAACGGAGAAGGTAACCTTCATTCAGATCTCACACTCGCCCTCTTATGTCATTTACATTTAACCAACCTCCCTCCCTCCCTCCTTTCCTTCCTTCCTTCCTTCCTTCCTGCCTGCCTTCCTCTTCCTCTTCCTCTTCCTCTTCTTTCTTTCTTTCTTTCTTTCTTTCTTTCTTTCTTTCTTTCTTTCTTTCTCTCTTTCTTTCTTTTTCTCCTTCCTCCCTTCCTTCCTTGAAAACTGTGTGTTCCTCTTGTCATTATTTTGGTGCTATAATTTTAGATTTCTTTCCTAAGGCTAAGTGTCATTTATGGCTCCTTAGGATCTAAATATCCAGTTTGCTTTGGACCCTGTTTCACTGCTTCTGATTTACTTGATATTGCCAGTGTTGTACTGTATTGCCATAGTTTTCCTTACTAATAGGTTTTGCGTGTGCTAATTCACGGGCTACCTTGATGACATTAGCAGTACTGTGGTCCATTCAGGGAGAACTGGGTGCTAAGCCAGTTACATTGCGTCCTTCCCTCTCAAATTAGCAGAGGTGATCAGACCTTGGGACAGAGGCGAAGGACTATATTAGCCGTGCTCTCAGCACATCACTGAAAAAAGTCTAACTAAAGAGACCTGCATACTAGCAAAAAAGTCTTTCCACTATAAGTGATCCAAAGCTAAGCACAAAACAAAAGCAACCAAAGAAACGTGCAAACAAAATCAATGCAAACATGAGGAAACAAAGCAGCAGAACTCCCAGCTCCCCCAGCCACCCACGGTCATGAAGAGGGAGGAAAGTAATGCCACTGAGTTGAGTTATTCTAAAAGCTAATGGAAAAGATTAAAAAATAGATCAATACGGAGTTTGGGTGGCTCACAGAAGACAGAACTACACAGACGAAGCATGTGGGGAGTGAAATGATCTGGGAGCTTGGAGAAGACACTAAGGAAAAGCTAGCTGAGCTAAACTAAACCCAAACATAAATGACCAGGTTAGCAAAAACTACAGTCTGTGGCAAGGTTCCAAACAGAAATCCAGAAGATTGAAAATTATACTGAAAGTATGGTCTGCAGAAGTGCCCAATGCGGGGACAGAATATCGGAATTAGAAGATCCCAGCGCCTTCCAAGATCAGTTACTGGGTTGTACCTTAGCAACAAAACAGGAAAATGGGATCCAACAACACTAGATGATGGAAAGAAAACAAATCTCGGATTACTTGGAGTGAAAGATTAGCAAACAGAACAAAGACATAAAAAACTGTTCTACAGAAATAATAGCAAAAGTATACATAGGAAAAGAGTTAAACATGTAGATAAGTGAGGTCTTCTCCAACTAGCTGAGGTCAAAGAGCCTCTTCATGTCACATCATAGTCAAAAATCCTAGAAGTTCAACATAGAGACAGAATTTTTTTTAAAAAGTTGTTAGAGAAAAGCAGTGAGTCACTTATAAAAGTAAACCCCTTAGAATTACAGTAGACTTCTCAACACACACCAAGAAGACCAGGAAAATTTGAAGTGTTTCAAGTCCTGACAGATAACAACTTCCCACTCAGACTAAAACGTCTCACAAAACTTTCTCTCAAAATTGATAGAAATATAAGATATTTCTATGACAAAGAGCATCTCAAGTAATTCATGACCACCAAATCAGCACTATAAAAAATTCTCAATGCCATCTTAGAAAGATTAAAGCCAACAATGCCAAAAAAACTAATAGAATGAATACATCAGGCAGGATGAGAAGTTAAACAGAAAGGGGTAGGGTGGAGTGGAAATCAGCAACAGGAAAATAATTCAATGATAGATATAAGTCAATATCTTCCAGTAATAACTCTCTATATCAATGGTCTGAATTCTTCAAAACAGAGGAAATCCAAATACATAGCCCAGTGATACACTTCAAGATCATAGAGAAACAAGAGTAATTCAAATCCAATTCAATCAAAAGACACAGAAGGCAGAGTGGACCAAAAAACAAAGCCAACAATTTGCAGTATACAAGAATCACATTTAATCCAAAAAGAAATGCACAAATTAAAAATCAAAGGATAGAAAGCAATATTCCATGCAACTGGAACCCAGAAAAAGTAGGAGCAGCGCTTGTAGTTTCAGACAATGTGGATTCATAGCCAAAACTGATTGGAAGAGACAAAGAAGGTCGCTGCATAGTGGTTAAAGGAACAACTCAACAGGAAAAGACAATAATTATGAACACATATGCAGCAAACACAAGTGCATCCAGCTTCATATAACATCTACTAGTGGACTTTTAAAAAATCAGTTAAACAACAACACAACTGTAATGGACAGCCTCAACATCCCACTGTCACAAATGGATTAACTAGACAAAAAATCAACAAAGAAATACCAGTGTTGAATCCAGCCTCGAACAAATGGACTTAATATACATCTACAGAATACTCCACCCAACAACAACAGAACACACATTCTTCTCATCACCGTATAGGACACTTTCTCCAAAATAAACACACACCAGTCCCTAAACATGCTTAAGCAGATGCAAAAGAATTGAAATTATCCCATGCATATCATCAGATCACAGTGAAAGGAAATTAGAAATGAATAACAAAGGAAACCAGAGAAATTTATCCTCTTGAATAAGCAATGAGTCTCTGAAGAAATCAAGGAAGAAGTTAAACACTTCTTAGAATCAAGTGACAATCCCAGAACAACATACCAGGATCTGTGCGACACAAGGCAGGCAGTCCTAAGTGGGAAGTTTATAGCTGCGCATGTACACATCTGGAAAACAGAGGAAATCCAAATGAATAACCCAGTGATGCACCTCAAGAGCACAGAAGAACCAGAGCAGTCCAAACCCAAAGCTAGTACACAGTAGGAAATAGTAAAGATCTGATCAGAGATTAATGCAATCGTGACTAAAAAACACAAAGAATCACTGAATTGAAGAGCTGGTTCTTTGAAAGAATAAACAAAAGAGACAAATCCCTAGCTGATCTCACTGCCAAAGGAAAGAAATGAGCCAAATCAGTGCAATCAGAAATGAAAACAACAAAATCACAACAAACTTCCAAAATTCAAAGAAAGTATTAGTAACTGCTTCGAGAGCCTGTATTCTCATACAATGGAGAATTCAGGAGAACTGGATAGATTCCTAGATGCATAGGAACTACCTAAGCTGAGCCAAGAAGAAATAAAAGCCCTAACAATCCGATATCAGGCCATGAGATTCAAGAAATAATAATAAATGCTACCAACTAAGAGAAGCCCAGGTTTCAGGGGATCCCCTCCTAAATTCCGTGAGACCTTTAGGGGAGATCTAAGGCCAATGCTCCTTAAACTCTTCAACGACTTTGAAAAGGGAGGGAGGACTCCTTAGTCATTTGTGGAAGCTAGTAGTATCCTGATTCAAACCTAGATGAGGAACCACCCCAAAAATGGGAAATACAGGCTAAGCTGTTCCTTGAACACAGGTGCAAAAACCCTCAAGAAGGCTATGCTGCATGCATCCCTGAAGCCAAGAGGTCAGAGGGGCCGGCAGGTGAGATTTGCACAGCTTCATGGCTACAGGGGCCAGCCCTGCCGTGTATGCTGAGAACCATACGTGATGTTCTCACTGCATCAAGGAATTAAGACAAAGCCCCAAAAGATATTTAGTATTTCTGTCCATAGGAAAACCTTTTCTAGGCAGAACTTGTTGGTTTCACTAGTGTTTGTTTTCGTCTCTGTCCAGCAGGGGACACTCTAAGCTTGCGAATAATCCATGGTGCGGGCTCCGTTCCTGCGTTCCTGCCTGTTCAGAGCCTACGGGCCCAGACCCACAGCCAGGATGGCCATCGCGGCCCAGGACGCTGCGTGTCCCTGGGCAGGGCTGCACCGCACGAGGGGCTTCTGAGTATAAAGTAAAACGCAGAAAGAGAAAACTCAGTGGCTGCTTCTTGTAATTCACAGTTCTCTTGACAACCCTAAGGCCACAAGAAGTACACACTGGAGATGTGAAAACACACCTTGACCCCAGAATGCATTCCATCCGGATCACAGGTTAACTTTTAACAATAAAACCCTAAAATACTAGAAGAACAAGCAAAGCACACGTTCATAATGTTGAAATGCAGAAGGCGTGATCCAAATCCCAAAAGAAATGAAGGGGGGAAATAGGCAACACTTCCTACATGAAGATAAAACGGTTCTGGTGAAGGAGTAAGTAGAGTCAAACATAAACACCAAACGGGCAGAAAGTGTTTCTAACGCAGATGCCAAGAGGTTCCTGATTCGAACACACAGACAAATCATTAGAGAAGGAAGAGGGAGAACTGTTGCCCCAAAGAAAAGCACCAAGGGCCATTAAGCTTCATGAAGCGTGCTAAGCCGTACACACTTCGAGATTTCTCTCACAAGGGAGTTGTGCAGTTTTCACTCCTCCCTCGGTAAGGATGAAGTCCCGTCCCGCGCTGGAGGACGTGAGCCAGCCGATGGGGGTAAAGGTGGGTGGGCCCTGTGTCTGCAGGCCGGCTGGTAGCGCTTTGACCCAGGCCCAGCAACTCATCCCCTGTGCACTAAGCTGTTCCTTGCAGAATTAGTTTCAAATAACAGCAAAAATGGACAACTCCGAAGGTGAGCAGGCCTTTCCTTCTCCGTGCACCTGGAGCCCCGGACATGGACTCCGCGCTAAATCTGATAAGCTAGTGCCCTGCCCTGGAAATTTAGGGCAGGAGGAGATGCTTGCCCTCCGGCTGAGTGACTGGTCGGGGCTGGACCTCTGTTCCAGGACGAGAGCCTTGGAGTTGTCAGCCACAGGGAGGCTACGAGCTAAACAGCGCCGAAGCCGAGATCTCGCCGTTGTTTTGTGGGCTGTCTCTCCTATTTGTGGCTCTCCTGGCAAAGCCTTCTGACTCCGAGCGGAGGAGCTTGCGGGTTTCTCAGCAGCATCCCTGAAATAAAGTGTGCTGAGGCCAGAGTCACCCCTTCCTCACAGCTGCAGAAGCCAGGGGAAGTGGTGAGGGGCTTTGCCTTTCTTCTCTCTTCCGGGGTCACTCTGTGAGGCTGGGGCCCAGCTCCCTGAGGCCAGTTCTGGAGAGGACACACCACTGTTCATCCGCTCACCCCGGCTCCCCCACGGCGCTGCTGTCTGCCCATCTGCCACTGACTCTGCAAGCTGTGTGTTTTCAAGTGAACTCCTGCATCTGCTGAAGACGTGCAGGCGAGGGACTCTCAGAGTCCAGGGGAACCGACCTTTGTTTTCTGGGCGAGTAATGTGGTGCTCAAGAAGGCTCAGCGAGGCTGAGGTGTAAACCCTGGCCCTGAAGGTACCTCTGCAGGCTTGCTGGTGCGGCCCAGGGTATGGGGTGGGGGACAGCTGTGCACCCCTAGGAGAGCTGCATGCCTGAGTCTGCTGGTTGAGTTCGATTTACTCTTCAATTTTTTTTTTTTTTAGACAGAGTTTTACTATGTAGCCCAGGCTGGCCTTGAACTTACAACCATCCTCCTGCCTCAGCCTCCTGAGTGCTGGAATTATTGATGTGTGTCCTCATGCCTGGCTTTACTCTTCAATTTCTACATCTCTTTCCTTGTCAAAAAAAAAAAAAAATCACTGTTATGATTATTAGACTTTTAGTACAATATGCTGTATTTTGAATCTGTTGTTACCGTTTGCTTTTTTGATACATGTTGCTCTGTAGTCAGGGCTGGCCTTGAACTCCCAGCGGTCCTACCTCAGCCTCCCAAGTGTTGGGATTGCAGGCTTGTGTCACCACACCCAGCTATTTTGAATCTTTAGAAGAATTTTAAATTTATTTGTACACAGGCACCAGGGACAGATTCCCCAAGCAGCAGCTTTCAGCCCCCTAGTGAACCGAGCTGAGCTGTGACCTACTGTGGACCTGGTAAAGAATGGGAAAAGTATAAGGATCAGGTTTGGACGGTTAGTCTTTACCAAAGTACAGTTCTTCAGAGCAGTGCCTTTGATTTTGTTAAGTTTCTGTCTGGTCTCCGAGGCACAAAGTGTCCGTCTTGTAAAAAAAAAAAGATTGGTACAACCCAGCGAGATTAAAATAAGCACCCCGTTTCCAGCTCAGTACCACTTCACAAATGGACCTCGTTCTGAGGATGATGGTCCTAACCTCGGGTAGGAAGATGCAGAGGAAGTGACAGGCGTGACTGAGACACAAGACCCGGGCCCGGGAGCCGGCTAAGATGCCTGAGTGAGAGAGTTCGGATGCGACCAGGCTGGGGTCTTGTTGAAGTTCTTTGTGTCCTAGAGAAATAAAGCGGGACACCCAGTGCTTTATTTGAAAAAGACAAGATACAGTCCACAGAGCGGAGTGGGTCCAGGAGAAGCACTCAGGGCCCCAGCTGGGCTTGGTTTTAGAGCCCTAACCCTTAGGGGTTGGGGTGGGATTGCGAGTTTGGTCGGAGGCACGACTCCTGCCAAAGGGCAGCTTCACCCAAGCTCTTTGTTAGGCAGTGGACTTTTCCACCTTTTAAGGCCGGGGTACTGAATTGGCTTCCATGGCCCCCGGAGGGGGCTGCACGGTCAGTGACACGGAAATTGGGGTTGGAGTCACTGAGGGATTCAGAAGACCTTGGGGCACATGCCTGGGGACTTAGGGTATGTGAGTTAAGTTACCTGGTTACTTTTTCCCATTCATTTTGTCTAGACCTGGGCATCTTAGTCCTGGGCTCATGTTTAACTCAGAAGGCGGATCCAGGCCCAGAAAGGTGGTCCAAGGGGCCCCTCCCCTCTCTGTCCAACCCTATGCTTAGCTGTCTCCTGCCTCACTAACAGGGAACTCTTGCACACACACACAGATCTTAAGCTCCATGACCGAGCGAGTTGTACATGAGCTGTGTGCATGTGCACAATTATGACACCCGACTGAGACAGCTGTGATAAGGAAACACACGCACATGCGGGCAGGTGCCGGGACAACCCGCGGCGTAACGGTGTCGTCACCAGGCTCTGACCCACCCTACCTCTTCTCTGCAAGTACAGATGAGCCTCATGTTTGCAGGTTCTACATCCACAAATTTATCTCCTCCTGAGCCTCTTTTGTCACCCCAGCACCAGCAGTCACTGTGCATCGGGTCACTGAAGAGACGCGTTGTGCAGAGCAGCAGACTGGTCAGCCAGGGCTCGTGTGCCTGTGCCCGGCTGCCTGTGCCCGGCTCGCACCTTGGACAGCGTTCTCTCCACGCCTGCCGAGGGCCTCGTTCCCACAAGTCATGCTTGCTGCTGGTTATTCTTCCCATGCCATTTAAAATGCCCCTGAAGCGCTGCCTGGAGCACCCATGCACAGCCGGCTATGGTGCGCCTGTGGAGAAGACCGTGTGTTGGTGAAGTCTTGAGTTTAGTGCAGTCAGTCATGAATTTAGTGGTAATGAATCAACAAAATGTGTTCATACGATGTCTTCGAGCAGAAATCCACCTAAGAAATGTTCCCTACTGACCTACTGAGGACGCACAAGCAGAGGTGCACGGAAGCTAACCCTGCACTGCCTCAGAAGCAATGCGCTGACTTCCAGAGCTCCGCGTGTGGCCGTGGTACAGAGCAGGGCTCCCTCCTCTGACAAGGCCGGGCTTTACTTGACCTCTCCTAGTTTCATCTCCCCCCATCTGGGGGAGCTCAGGTTGCTGGAAGGGTCTGACAAGACCACGCCCAGCAAGTCTGGGGCAGCACTGTGGGGCCGGGGATTCTGATGCTGCGGCTCAAGCCTGTGCTCTGTGGGTTAGGGGAAGCAGCCCCCTGCCTCAGCTGCACTTCAGCCTCCAGCTCTGGCAACATGGGAGGAAAAAGTCGTGAGGAAAAGAAGTGTGAGGGCCACACACACCTGCTAAGAGCGTGGAAATGCTCTTCCAAAAGCAGCAGTTTCCACCCCGTATGTCTCTAGCTAACAGTATTTGTCAGAATGCTAGCATTAGAATAGTAGTCACATGCTGCGGGAGTTTGATAGTGTCCCATTCACAAGAACTCAAGCAGGAAGTAGAGAACAGCCGTGCTGTTGGCAGGGTGCCTGCTTGTCTGAGGGGCTCTAGGACACCGTGGCTGTCGGCACTGCCCTCTCTTTCCTGCAGTCTGGTGCACACTATCCACCATATTATTCCCTGTGGGGATGAAGGCTTAGCAACCTGGTTAGGTGCCTGGTCTGTGTTCAGGGCAGGCTGGGAGTGTGTCTCGCCCCATGGCAGTGTCTCCGTCCCAGGCCAGTGACAAGAGGGGGTGCGCTGGGGATTTCTCCTGGGCCTTTGCTGTTCCTTCTTCCTCCCCGGTGAACATGAGGTGACTTTGTCCACACCTCCAGCTGCGGTTCCCTAGAGCCTCCCCTGGAGCCAGGGTTTGGAGGGGACAGGTCCCAGACTCCAGGCTCGACCTCCAGCCTCTCACTGTCCTTTATGGCCCTGGGCCCCGGCGGCTGTGCCTCCTCCTCTCTCAGAGCTTCTTCCCTGTCGCTGCCCGGATGGTAAAAGCTCCCTGGGCCCAGCGCAGGAGGGTGGTTGGACGGATATCTCAAATATGTTTTGAAAACATAAATGTCTTCACTTGAGCTTAACTCCACGCTCACCTCATTCCATTAGGGAGAAGCCTGACTGGCTTTCTTTGCCGTCCCTGGAAGACATTTCAGACAAAGTGCAGGGGATTAAGCTGACCGTTCGCTCCTGAAGAATTTGTGAGACAGAAGGAGTGGCTGTCAGTCTGTGGGCATATGTCCCCCATGGTCTCCAAAGAAGCATCACCCACTCTTCTAATCAGTGACGTCTGACAGAGAGGAAGAATTTTCTATGTATTTTGTGGTCTTATTTTTTTCTGTGGAGATGACATCAGTGTGGAAAAAGAGGTGACTGGAAAGCAGTTTATACCATTGGAATTCAATCACAGCCCACAGGAAGCTGGGCCCTGGCCGTGTTGGTAAGAGCAGCCTTGCGCAGTGCCTGCTGTGTGTGCTGTGGAGATGGAGGCCTGGGCGAGCTAGACTGACTTCCTGTGGCCTCCGCTCGGGCTCCACCTGGGCTCTAGCAAGTGAGGGCATGGCCTGCAGTGTGCCAACTTGCAGGGCTCTCAGCATGGCAGCTGGCAGGCCAGAGGGGCCACACTGGCAATGGGCACCCAATTAGTGTCCAGTCCCTCCAGCACCACTTCCCAGGGAACAGGCATGGCAAGGCACGCTGCAGCAGGCTCCGTCACCAAGAACTGGCTCCCAGATTCCCAGGAAGTCTGAGAGCCTAATGCTAAGGAAGCCTGTGTGGGCCATGATAGGTGCATGTGCAGAGTGGAGATTGGCCCACTGTCTCCAGCTGCATAAACAGAGTGAATCATCTTCTCCTCGTCTCTGTTCCCTTTGGGAAAAGTCAAGGACAGGGTGCTTGGGAACAGGTGAGTGTGGCAGTGGGTGCCTACACCCTCTGTCGTGCACGGTGCCTCTTGCTCAGGACCCGGCAGGGTGCTCAGGCAGGATGTGGCAAGGCCACTCAGTCTTGGCGTGAGGAGCTGTTGTTCTGTGGGGAAAGGAGGTCGGGAGGAGGTGGAAGGACCTGACTCTCCACTCGATGGCTTTCCTGGCACCTAGCGAGGGTGGGGCCGTGCTTCCTCCTTGAGCCTGCAGAAAGTTCTTGCAGCATTGCGGAAGAGGCTGCCTGTCTGCTCTGTCAGGAGTAGAGCCGGGTGGGGCCTGGGCATCAGTCCTCACTGGCAAATCCTTTCATG